AAAAAATAATAAATGTTGTCTATTTTAAGAATTAGATATCATATAATATTTTTTGTTTTTAATAAATAATTAATAAAATTCACCATATATTAAATACAATACTTTTAAAAAATAAATAAGTAAACATCAAAATGATTTTCAATTATAATACAATATAATTTAGTACAACTACAATTTTAACACCTTATACCAATTCCAAATGCACCCATCAATGGCATGTTTGATATAGAAAAAATAGAATAGAAAAAAAAATAAGATATTAATTATAAATTTTCACGATATTAATGTTTATTAGATGTATTTCTAAAAAATTAAGAAAAAAATACTTTAAAATTGTTTTGTTTCATTAAAGTAGTATAAAAAAATATCAAACAATGTCATTCTTACATTAAAATAGTTATTTTGTTATTTTTTAATGAAAGTTTAATAAAACAAAATTTTGGGGATTTTTTAAATTTTTTAGAAATTCAATTGATAATTATTTTATTTAGTTTTTATTTATAACAGCATTGTTATTTTAAATTAAAATATATATATTCTTGATTTTGATATATTTAAATTAAATGTAAATGCAATATATTATTTATAATTTTAATAGTCTTGATTTAATTCATTAAAAAATGTTCCTTATACTCTTATACTAAAATCAAACATTTCAATTTTGAAATTACATCCTCATTAAGTCATCTTTTTAATTTGAAGTTCTTCTACTTTATTCAAAATTTATCAAAATGGTTCTAACCCTTCAATCCCTCACATCAAGTGCTCGAGCCCTTGATGTACTTGATTTATGTGATTTGAATTACTAGATTCAGGAGCCAACGCCTCTTGCCAAGTGTTGGAACTTCAAAGTCTCAAACCAAGTGGGGCTTGTAGTTAGTTCGAACTTTTGTTATTCTTTTTTATTATTTAGGAGTGATAAGTTTAATTTTTTTTTTGAAGAAAAAATTTAAAAATTACTTTAAAAATAGAAAAAAGTAAGTAAAAAAAATTTTAAAATATTTATAAATATATTAATTTAATTTCTTTTGATATTTATATTTTTAAGTTAAAAAATAAATTAAATTTACTAAAAATGAAGAAAAAATATATATTTATGCAAAAAGGTATTCTTAATTTGTATCTTTAGATAGATTAAAT